ACAGGCTTGGGCACATCAATTGGATGTTTTGTTCCTGCAAGAGACGCGCTCCAAGGAGAGCCAGATGGTGCTCTCTCAGACACACATACGCCTGGTTAGTGCAGCGGCCAAAGGTGTAGGTGGACTGGAGACTTGGCTACGACGGGCCTCTGGGCAAAAGGAGATCAAAGGTTTCGAGGTCCAGGATACGCATGTGCTCCTTTCTGAGCCCGAGATCTTTCTTGTCAAAGCCAAACTGCGCTCCGTGACATTGTTGCTGCTAAATGTGCATGCTCCACATAGTGGGCATACGGAGATGGAAATTAAAGCCTTCTGGGACAAACTCAACACTGCTGTTTTGCCCTATGTTGCAAAATTTCCCAATCTGGTTGTTGGCATTGATGCTAACGCCCATTTCGATGTTCCAAATGAGCCAATGGTATACGGTGCCATGGACTGGAGTCGCGCTCGAATCCAAATGCCTTCTGTTTCCAACTTTTTCTGCACAAAGCGAAACTTTGGCTTCCATCCACGTTTTCTGCATATCATAGTGGACCGTCAGAGACATGGCACTCTCATGCCAACGGAAGCTGGGCCCGCTGTGACTACATCGCTGTGCCACAGATTTGGAAGGATGGCCAACTCAAGAGCTATGTACTGAATAGTTTTTGGATGAGGGCAAAAGAGCGATTGACCATTTTCCTGTTGCACTAGAGGTAAAAATCCGGACGTTTCTCAAATTTGTACATCGTGTGCGTGCTGGTTTTGATCGGGCTGCGCTGCAGAGAGCCGACGATGCCACCCTCAACAACATGTTGAGTCAGGTGAGAGTGCCAGATTGGCATGCTGATATCCACCAGCATGCACAGACTTTGAGCCAGCAAATTTTTGAGCGTCTCTGCGAATTTTTTCCCACAGGACCAGGTCAAGCACACAAGACATACATATCAGATGCCACCTGGGCCATTCGGAAGGAAAGGCTCAGGATTCGCTCTGAGCTCAGCCGAGTAAAGCAAGAAACAGGTGCCTTTAGTATGCGACATGCTTTCCAATTGTGGGCAGCAGACGGTGGAGAGTTCCGGCCTGACTATGTTTCCTTCGTCATGCTTCTCAGAAGGGTTCGCATGCTACAGATGGCATCACATGATCTTGCGAAACAACTGACCAAAAGTTTAAGACATGATCGTACTGCTGCGTTGGAACAACTTGCCAAGCAGGCTGGCCAGCTATCCCCCAAAGACTTTATGGCTGCCCTAAGGGGAGTAGGAGTCCAAAACAAGAAAAAACCATCAGGCATACGACCTCTACCGCATCTCTTGAATGAACAAGGACAGCCAGTTGAAACGGTTGAAGAGATGGCGGCAGTCTGGAGGAAATACTTTGGGGAACAAGAAGATGGTCTTGAGACAGACTTCAAGACGCTATTTGAACACGCTGACCATACTGTCAAGAGGCAAGTACCAGTGCCTGAGTGGGACGAGATCCCTACACGGCCACAAGTTGAGGCACAATTCAGGCGAACTGCCGCAGGGAAAGCGTATTTCGCGGACCAGATTCCGGGCGACCTTCTGGCAAAGGTACCGCAACGGCTGGCAGAGCTTTATTACACTGTCTTTTGCAAAGAAGCCATTTTTGTGCAGGAAGCTATGATACATAAAGGCGGATACTTGGCAGCTGCACATAAAAAGGGCAGCCCCTGCGAGGTGTCCAACTACAGATCTCTCTTTGTGAGCAGTGTCATCGGGAAGACACTTCATTCCATCATGAGGAGCGATATTGTACATCATTTTGGCCACCAACGACTTCCTATGCAGGTAGGGGGCTTGCCAGGACAAGGGATTACACAGCCTGTCCACAGTCTACATCTCTTTCACCAGCGAGCCCTGACAAAGGGTTGGTCGATGGGAGTACTCTTCATTGATATTTCCAACGCCTTCTATAGGCTCGTCCGACAACACATCACTCATGTGGACAAGGAGTGCAGAGGTGTCCGTGCTTTGTTTGAGCAGCTTCACTTACCGGAGGGAAGTTTTGAAGATTTCCAAAGTTCGCTGCAACAAACACCTGCTATTGCTGGATCGGGAGCCTCACCGCACTTACAGGCTATGTTCAAGGAGTTCTACGATCTGACTTGGTTTATTGTCAAACATGACAATTGTGTGATTCAGACGAGGCGAGGCAGTAGGCCAGGCGATGCATTGGCTGACATCTGCTTTAGCTACGCTCTCACAAGAATCCTTAAGGGACCTCTGGCCAAGCTGGTTCAACTTTTCCCAGACATTCAGTTGTCATGGAGTGGACAGAACGATCCCCTGCCTACTGACGAAGCACAATTTCAGCTCCCACCATTGATGCCTATATGGGCTGATGACATTGCTCTAGCCTTTGATGATCCTAGACCAGATGGGCTTTTGCAGAAGGCTGAGACGATCACCTCGATGATACTGGACACGCTCACGAGTACGGGTCTCAAACCCAACCTCAAAAGTGGCAAAAGCGAACTTCTTCTGGATCTGAGAGGGTCAGGCTCGCAAGAATGTAGACGGAAGCTCTGCTTGCGAGACAATGTCATGGATGTGCCATCTGACTATGAGCCCTACCGTGTCAATGTTGTGGGGTCCTACCGCCACTTGGGGACCTGGCTCCAGGTCAGAGGAGGGCTTGCCAAAGATGCGTCTACCAAATTTGCGATAGCGCATAGACCATTACCAAATATCAACACAGATTTTTGGGAATCGAGGCATGGAGCTGAAGATCAAAATGAGATTCTACGAAAGCCTGATCCAGTCAGCTATCATTTTCAATGCGGCAGTTTGGAAGCCGCGAAATCAGCGACAGCACTCCCAGCTGGAGGCGGGGTTTTTGCGACTGCACAGACGTCTAGCTACTTTGCATTTTGGAGCAAAGGCGCTTACATGGAGTTACAGGATGATCTTGCATGAGCTCCAGTTGCCTGAGACTGCAACCGTACTCAAGGTAGCACGACTCAGGTATCTTGGGCAGCTGACCTCCAATGGGTTGCCTCCTGTGTGGGCTTTGCTTCAACATACCCCTGCTTGGCTGGAACAGTGTGATGAAGATGTTCGCTGGCTATTGACATATTGTCCCGAGGCGGACATACATGTGCCATTGCAGCAGACATGGGGAACATTTGTAAGCAGGCTCACTGCACAACCAGCTTGGTGGAAGAGATTGTTGCGAAAAGCCATACAAAGACAAGTTGGTTGGCATGGGCTACTACATGAGTGGAATCGTTGGCACCAACAGATGATTCCAGTTCTGCAACAAATTGGACTCAGTCCTGGTTCCTTGGCTACTGCTCAAAGTAGCCAGCACTACTGCCTTCGCTGCAAAAAGGTTTTTGCGAAGAAGTCGTTTTTGGCTGTCCATGCTTTCAAAAAGCACCAGAGGGTCAGTCGAGCACGATACTATGTGGAAGGCAAGCAGTGTTCATGCTGTCTCAAGACATTTGACATGCACACTGACTTGATCAACCATGTGAATCGCCAAGAACGTTTTGAATTTTATTCCCAGCGTGGGGAGTTTGTTGAAGCCCAACCGGCTGTAAACAGCCGAAGCGAGAATCGTGCACGAAGAACACTTCGTGACCCGGTATTGCAGGCCGAAGGGCCAAGACTTCCATTCCCACAAGGAGGTATTGACAGACAGATTGAGGAGAAAGCCAATCTATTTGAAGCCTGGACTAATGCCCTGCTCCATCCAGCTACGGGATTGACCCTGCTGGAGCGACTAAGGGATGCCACTCTGGACACAGTGCTCTTTCATGATGAGATTCTGCAGGTGTTCACTGAATGGCTCAACCGACCTGAGGTCGAGGAGAGGCTAACTGTGGCACAAGCGGCTGAAGTGTCACTTTTCTTTGTCCATGCTTCGGCTTCTTGGTTTCTCAAACAGTAGACGTACACCACTGAAACAGCCGAAACACCACAGCACCTTTTTGAAAGAGAGGCATGGCGCCTTGATGTGATCAAATGCTCGGTGCCGAAGCTGATCCCATATTACCCCAAGGTTTTCGCACATCTGTTTTCGGGCAACCGAAGATCAGGCGATGTCCAAGAGGCAATTGAACAACTTGGGGGAATGGCTGTTTCTATAGATATCATTTTTGATATCTCATGGGGTAATCTGCTGAAAGAATCCACATTCCAACTTTTTGCGCGAGCCATCAGAGAACGAGTATTGGCTGGTTTTGTTGCCGGCCCACCGTGCGAGACATGGTCCCGCGCCAGGGCTGTCGACAATGGAGGACCGAGGCCTTTACGTTCCAGAAGCATCCCTGCGGGATTACCGCATCTGACACAGCGCGAAATGGCGCAAGTCTCTGTTGGCAATAAGTTGCTGGGAGTGGCGCTCTGCCTTTTCCTACATGCTTTGATAGGAGGGGCAACAGCGATACTGGAGCACCCCGCGTGCCCAGATGATGAGCCCACATATCCCTCCATCTGGAGACTGCCAATCGTACACTTCCTTTTGCGCTTTGAGCAGTGTGTCAAAGTACGGATTTGGCAAGGGTTGTTTGGAGGCATCTCACCAAAACCCACGGATCTTCTGATCGCGAACGGGGGGCCGAGAGTTGCTGAAATTTTTGCTGAAGGTCGTACGACGCCAATGCCGCGAGGAGGTCAGATTGGACGCAATGAAGATGGAACATGGAAGACAAGTGTACTCAAACAGTATCCTCAAGCACTATGCCAAACAATGGCCAGACTTTTGTTTGAGGCCCAGAGCCAGGCTGAGGTGCTTGAGCCGCTGCCTGATTGGTTTTGTACAGCTATATCCAATCTTGTGGCTACATTTGACCACGAAGCACGGATGGGCCCAGATTGGGAACACCGTGCCACATGACTCTGCAATTTTAATTTGTAATTTATTTGCAAGGCTAGCCACAAGCGTGCAGCTATCGGCGTATGCATAAAAAAAGAAAAAACTGTGTTAAGTTTGGGTCATGGGTTGATCGATCCAGGATTGATGTCTGGAGAGGCCGTGATCGACCAGCTGAGGCTTTGATCGACCATGAAGGCCCTGATGGTTCTCCGATGGCTATCATGGACAGGGCGCTCAGCACGACGAAGGCAGTGTTCAAGGTGACTCCAACAAGGATGGATCTACTGGCACCCTCTGAGGTATGGTGAGCAGGGAGAAACTATCATGTAGGTGCCAGCCAGTCGGGTCCAGTCGTGCCTTCTAAGAAGGTTTTGGATCTCTAGGGAACGACTGGACTGGACGAAGATCTTGGTGCCTGACAGAACCCGTTGGGCAGGGCTGTTCTTTGGGCCCTCACAAACTACATAGGGTGAACTGGACCGGACTAACATGTAGTTGTTTGAGGGTCCATGAGCCTACGCGCGTTCAGACTCATATTCCAATCAATGCAAGATGAACCAAGGTTTGAGATGTGCTGAGATTAACAATGTATAAGCATGTGCTGGGGTCGGTCGTTGGCTTACTGCCCCCACCCTTCCTGAGCCCCACCCTGTCGCAGAGGGCGAATCCTTTGGTGTGTTTTTCAGTGATTTTTCTATATCAGGGGTCACAAAGGGGTTGTTTTTAGTCCCTAAGTGAGTGGATAATGGGCACCCCTATCCTCCAATAGGCATCCCTTTGTGACTCCTGGTACAGTGGTTTCAGAGTAGATGGCACAAACCCCAATAGGTGTCTTAGACCGATGGGTGTCCTTCTAACCCGCCAAACTTGGGGGCCCAGAACGTGCCATGTCTGACCTCTGATGGCCCAAACCGTATGGCGTAGTCACCTGATGTCACCTGCAAATGTTGCTTCCTGTTTTGGCTCCGAGGAGAGTGTGGCCATGATGCTCTACCTGGCTGAGAAGTGTCAAGCCTTCTATCCCAGCAACCCCAGGTGGCCCCCCGCGTGAAACGCGCGTTTCGCGCGGCGGATTCCTTACAAAGCGAGCGGTTGCTCAAGCAAAATCCCGAAGGCAGCCGACCAATTTGGACCCGAAGTGTTTTGGGGGGGGTTCCTAGGGATTTCAAATCCATACCCGGTGAATCCCAGTTATCACTATACACAAGGAATCAAGTTTTTTGGGGGGTCTATGGCTTGAGTCTTTGGAACTGGTTTCTGGTAAAATCAGCAGTTAAAACATTAGGTTCTTGAAGTAATGAAGCCTTTAAAATGCCTTGGAATCTTCCAGTTGGCCACGGTCTTCCGTCGCGGTTCCCGCCGCCACCGACGACGTGTTCCCTCCAGGGAGCGCTGCGAGTGCTTGCAGTGGCTCTTTTGGCAAGTCGGGGGTCAAGGGTCACGGCCTCAGACCGAACGACGCTTCCAACGACGCTTCAAACGGGTCCCTGAAGTCATATAACATATACCCAGACGCTCCGTTCACAGCCCGACTGGTCCCTCAAAACCTAGGGATTTGAGACCCCAGACCCCTCCATATGAAGGTCCGACCCTTCCATATGAGAGCCCATGAGCGTCTGGGTATACCTGAAACCGAGCTCGGTTTCTTTTTTCGGGGTCAGTAGTTCAGCATACCTTTATTTAGGTCTGTGAACCACGCACAAAGATCCGCAACCAAAGTAGACCATTTGGTGAAAAAGCATTCAAACACTCCTCTACCATCGAATCTGAACCACAGAAATCCAATGATCAGGGATCTTCAGGGTTGCTTGGCACGATTGCACATCGCTCGCCAATTTGAAGGCCTGCTCACCAACTGGGCACCCTTGACATGTGAGATCTTTAATAAGCTCTATATGAAACCATGGGTGTTGAGATATTCCATAAAAAGGGGTGAGGTCCCCTGTTCAGGACCCCCCTGCAAAATTTACACATGGATCATGTGAGAAAAGTTTGAGAAAAGTAACTTTTGGTGGGCAAGGCCATGTGCTCGTGCAAGGCCATGTGATCCCTTTCCCAGACACTTGACGGGAGTGGCCTATTCACCCACTTTGGGGTGGTTTGAGTACCTGTTTTTATAGGATCATGTTCCATGTTCTAGGGTACTTTGGAAGGTGGTGCACGAACTGAAACTGGGGAGCGTCGGTGGCCGAAATGATCCACTTCTTCCATATGTCAGGGACGTTCCTAGATATCCTAGATGTTCGCCTGCAGGGAGTTTTTCCCACAGTGGACGTCACATGTCAACCCGAGATGGACCACGCGGGATGCCGGCGGAGGCCCATGACGGGGAACTTTGGGCATTTCAAAGTCTATGCGCCGAGCCATGAGGTGCCATGACGGTGAAGGAGTCAGTGGCCATTTTTGCGGCGGTTTTCCAGCTAGATCGCGTGGTCTGGCACACTTTGGTTCCCTCAAAAAGTGGGGATTTGAGACCCTATAGACTACGTCCAGACCCCTTCGTTTACGCGGTTCCTGTGGGTGTGAACATTTTGTGTGGGGTGAATCCGATGGGTCCTGGTTTGGAACCCTTCAGGCACGTCCGCGGCTACGTGGCAGATTCACGAGAGTTTGCGCGGGCAATGTGCTAGACAACGCAATTGCGGAAGCTACTGATTTAATGCTCGATTCACGTAGACGAAGAGCTAGAACAGTATCTTGTGGATCCTGGATAACTATATAAGATCGCTACCCATGGTGTCTCAAATGCCCACGAGCTCTTCATCGATGCATTGTCATACCATGAATCTGACGAGTCAACCAGCTGGTCAGACTAGGAGCGAGAACGCTACTAGTTACTAGGGGCTCCTGGCGTCTACTTCCTGTTGATCAGGGGGCTTGGAAGAACAATGAGCCAGGCAGAGAGCAATTATGGCCGCTTGTTTGTGCAAGGATCATTATGAGATGCACTTTCTTTGAAGACATGCATGCTCTGTCGCCCTGGGACAGTTTGAGAAGAATCTCATGGACCCGAACATGTTCATAAAGGATGAACCGCATCCTTTAAAGAAATCAGTCACAAGTCGCTGGCGACTCAATTTGGATTCAGTCCTATATGTGGACTCAACAATCCACCGAATTCTGCATGGACGGCAGAATAAAGTGGACAGCCTAACATACTTGGCTGGCTACAAAACACCACATTGCATCGGCCTAGGGCACGATGACGGAGGACAATTCGACTTCGGCAAAGTCCTGGAGCGATTGTCTCGCAACGGAACCGTTGGCTCAGCCGATGCTTCCGGATGGGATCTTTCCGTGTCCGCTGATGCTTTGTGGATGGACACTCGCTGTCGCGTGTTGTTAGCCCCGGAGTCGGTGTTCACCAGCAACTGCATCTCCTTGAAGGCTACATCAACGCCTCCCACATCTGAAACGACGGAGACAATCTGTGGGAGTCATTCAGGCTCGGCATAACCGCATCTGGCATACCATCGACTACATATCAAAACTCACTTGTCAGATCCTCCTTAGCCATCGTTTGCGGCGCTGAAGAACTGTTTCGATTGGCGATGACTTGCTCTTCGTATAGGGCCTTTGTGCGGAGTGATTTTGCGGATGAGCCCGAGTGGGCTGATGGCGTTGAGGAACCCATTATAAACTTCCCACGCTTGGTATCGCCAGCCAGACAGAACTTGGCGGCTGCCGGCGCGTGCTTCGCAAATTTCCCGAAATTGCTTGCTGGTTTTGCAATACGGCTAGACCTCCAGGACACGGGCACTCCTGGTAACATCAAGACCCGTCCCAAAGTCCTCGGCACTCACATCCAGCTCACCAGGGCACATGCCGGAGCCGCTCCACAGGAAGAAGTTGCAATCAAACAAGCGCTCCAGGTCACCAACCAGATGGACTCGTAGCCTGCCCCATCCACATATGGACCGTCTTTTCTTTGCCAAAGCCACAGGCATTGCAAAAGTAGCGGCAGCTACATTCTCTAGACTGCCCGCCCAGACGGATCTTCAACCTCTCCGCCAGGCTGTTTACACCGCAGCCAAAAGCAATGCCGCTCCACTGACAAGACTGCTCCTAGGACATTCTGCGGATGTCTTCTTTCGCGATGGATCCACGGCAACCATCCAGACGCTCCGAGCAGCTGCTTCAGACCACCAATCGGCGTAACCATACGCTGGCTCCAGCGCACTGGCTGGACTACAACAGGACCATGGACATTCACACACTCAGCAGCAAAGATCCTCCTAACTTTGGATCCCAACCACCCGCCGCCACCACAACACACCAAGGTCGTGATGGATCCGGAGCAGTGGCCGACCACGCTGCACACTTTTCGCGAAGGTTGGAGGGCACACACCTGGTCTCAGTTCCAGAAGCAAAACACGAGAGCATCACAAGCTCTTCGCCACACAAGCTGGGCCACCGCCAGCCCCCGCCTGACCCGTGCCAGGTCAGCGTGGCTTTCCGCCCCACCTGATCTCCGAGCCCACACCTTTGCCACAATCACCAACCAATGGAATTCTCAAGCTAAGCTTGCCTCCAATCAGAACCAATGGCTGCACCACTGCCGGTTCTGCCAGCGACAGACATCACCGACCCGCCTCCACGAATGGCAATGCACGGCACTCCGCCAGAGTGCCGCCCCGCTCCCACCAGACCCGCTGTTCCAGCACCTTGGCTGGCCTTCCGATGGAGCAGAAGCGCTTCTGCTCCTGGACCTCGCCAATGTGCGGCGCCAGGTCTTGGCGGACCGCTACGAACCGTAGCAACCACAATGCCGGCTTCTAGGGCGAGCAACCCTGTGGCCACGGGAAACGAGCTCTACTTTGCAATACGGCTAACGGCGAGGGAGGCGTGCAGCGCCCTATATATGCTTCACGACATAGTCGTGGGGCATTTGTTTGTGCTCTGTCGCTCTCCGAGCCGGAAGACTGCGTCCTCATTTGAGTGAGAGTGTGCCTCTCCTCTCTACAACTAGCTCCTTTACCACTCAGTGGCACTTGTCAGTAGTGTGAGCTTTAGCCAGCAAGGAGGTTTGGCAATGACCATGCCAACAGGCGACCAGAGCATCCAGGGCCTTGGACCTGAAGTGCGGCTTGACAACACCGAGGACTTTTTTGGGCAAAAGCGGGCTGCTATGGAGAGCTTTGCCTGTAGAGTTTCGAGACTAAGTAGTACCGTGTAGTACCGATTGTTTTTTGATCAATTTGTTCTCGGGTCGAAGAAGGGACCATGATTGTCAGTCAGGCACTCTTTGCGGCTTCCTCATGTGATGCATGGAGTCGAGAACGAGGAACCCTCTTGGAGAACGGCGCGCAGGGCCCTTGCAAGGTCAGTTCAATATAAGTTTGGGCTGCCTTCACTTGCTGCGGCGGAGGACCGCAAGATGTCACTTGGCAGTAAGCTCCTTGGAGTCACTTTGCGCCTCATGTGAATTGCCCGAGTGACCGGAGCCACAGGGCTTATGGAACACCCTGCTGCGGACGACACTTCGCCTTTGACGGCGAGTGTGTGGAGGACGTTTGTTGTTCGCACTTTGCTACTTTTTCCGCAGCCTGAAGCTGAGAGTGCTGCAGGGGGGCGTGCCATCGCGGTGAAAACTACCGACCTTTTGTATCAAAATGTCGCCGCCCGAACTACCACCCTTCCTAAGAAAGGTGTCGTTGGCCTCGATGAGAAGAACCGCTGGCGCACAGCGGTGCTCAAAGATTACCTGCCGATGTTTTGCGAAGTTCTTGCACGTTTGTGCCACGAGAGTCAGATGCCACTTCATGAACTTGACCCTATAGCTCTTGTTTGGACGAGATGAAATGGGCCAAGATTATGGAAACCGCCTTGCGTGAGAAATTCATAACTAAGTGCACGCGCAGCTACCGACAGCGCGTCGATGGCATGCAGAAAAGCAACACTACTTCATTTCCAGTGATCCCCACCATGACATTTCAATTCAATCTGACAAAGTTTCTGGCATGTATTGAAACATTATTTCTGCATTCTTTCTGACATTCTTTCTGGCATATCTTCGGACATTCGTTCTGACATTCTCTCTGGCGTTCTATCTGGCATATCTTCTGACTCGCGGTTGAGGTCCGGCGGGGAACACTGCCGTCCCCAGCTGGTGGTTGAGGTCCGGCGGAGAACACTGCCGTCCATGTCGGAGGAGCAGCGAGGCAGCTGACATAAAATCTAACAGCCCTTACCTGACAGGTTGGGAAAAGGGGGCATCGATGTAATAGGTCAATCCCTGAACCCCTATACCGTTTAGCTTGCCTGCCAGATAAGTTAAAACCAAGGTATCCTGGCTTTGCACCCATAGTGGAGTTCGACAGCCCTATCGTGGCAGGAGTTTCTGTTGGAGCGACCTGGACTAGCGTGGCTTGGGAACCTCTGTTGTTTCTGGATAGTTGCCGAAAACTTGGAAGATGACCACAACTTTTTGACATTCAAAGTATTTCGACACCATGAACACGCTTCAACACGCTTATCCAATATACACCATGTCGCCACGTGCTGCTTCGCATGTTTTGTTGATCATCATGTTCATCAAGAACCGTGGTGGTGAGGTGGACGCGCGGAACTATGGCGTGGCACGCTATGGCATGGAGGCGCAGCGTACGGGCCGGGCCTGAAGTCTGTTGTATACATGTCCTGACACCCTGTTTTTTTGCGGATCCTGTGATCTCTGTTTTTCCCAGCGAATCCAATGTGAATCCCTCGGGTCCTGAGGAAGACCATGGCTTCATTGTCGCCATTGTTTGCCAGTTTCCGAAACCGCAATTTCGGACTCAACTCGCAGACAACTCAACGTTTGGGGTGCCGAAGCCGGAACATTCGGCACTTGAGCCGTTTGAGTCTGGCAAGCCCGAGGTTGAATGATTTGTTGGTGATCCAGTCATCCATTGAGTTATATAGCGTCCCTCGAAGCAATTGGACTCCGGGTTGAGAACACAAGTTCCAGGTCTTGTATTGTACACATAAGGATTATTAAACATGTTCATTTCATCATTTGATTTTGTTTCTAATATGTTTATATAATTTGGACATGATCCAATCTCGTCTAATCTCATATGGCGGAGCCCTTTTCATATTCATACCATTTCATACCCATATTCATTCCACACTCATAACTTGCATCACTGTCACTATCAGTCACAACAAATAAGTAGAAATACAACTACTTGGACCTCCTAAAGCACCCTAGAAAACAGACCATTAGAAGAAGACCAGGGTACATGCCAGGACCTTCAGTTCATGACCAGTTCTTTGTTACTAATAATATTTGCATAATATTTGTCACTAATGCACACCCAGAGGCTTCGTGAAGACAGCGCAACCGGTCCCTCAAGACCTCACAAGCAGCTCAGACAGTAGCAAGAAACTACTAGGTGGAAGCCATATTGCTATTAGGTTAGAGGCCATCGCTACTAGTAAACTACAATCCTTTCCTTCGTTCGCAACGGGAGTAGATCGAGATCGGTCAAACGACCAGAAGATTCGGGTCCAGGCGACTCGCGTTTGCTGCCAACTGCCGTTGTTTCCTATCCCTTGGGATTCAGTCGTACCTTCTCAGAAGGTGATGGGAGACACTATAATGTAGGTTGAGAAGGTACGACAGGATCCCTATAGGGTATGGCAAATGATGGTCTCCCTAAGAATTTGGACCCAAAGCTAATGAAATTAAGGGTTTGGTTTTGATCCTTTTCCCTTTGAATTTGGGTGGAGAAGGTCCGTACGAATTTTCAACAAGAAACCATTAGGCCGGCGCAAGATCCTGATGTTCGGCCAGGAAACATTAAACATGTTTGGAGAACGCCCTATTTGGAGCGCCGGTTGCGCTTGAAACAAAAACACAGTGAGGTAAAGATCAGGAAGGCCCCTGTAGATAGGCCAGGAGTCACATGTCGGGGTGGTATTTAGTCCCTAAGTGAGTGGATAATGGGCACCCCTATCCTCCAATAGGCACCCCTTTGTGACTGCTGGGGGATCCATCTTGATTTTATGACATTGATGTCGGTCAATACCCCGTGACCCGGTCACGGTCAATGGCCGATCATCGACTGGCAGTGCGACTGGATCTTACGCCGGTGCAACAGTTCTGGCCTTTTCATCTAGCCCAGTTCGGCACGCTAGGGATCCACGTACATTCTCAGAAGGTGATTGGAGACTATATTTATGTGGGTTTGGAGTTTGGAGGGTCCAAGTACCTTCTGGGAAGGTACGACTGGATCCCTATAGGGCAGATGTATCCAGATATGTTTGACTTCTGAATTTAAGCCGATGGTCCGGTGACTCGCCGGTGACGCCACCGGTGACGCCACCGGAGCGTCTTCTCAGGTGCAGAGGCTTTGTTCCGTTTTGGCCAGATCCTCAGTCCTCAGTAGTTGGCCTTTTGCTCACTTAGCACTTAGCACTTGGACCCTGGTGCCGAAATATGTTGATTTCTGATGATTTATGGGTCCAGGACCATCCGAATCGAATGTCCTTTGGCCCCAGTTCGACCATTCCACCTCGAAGTACGTACTCACCTCCGTTCGACCCCCCTCAGGACGGACCCTTAGGGGTTGATTTAAGAATCCACACGTGGACCTTCTCCACTGTGGCATCCCTGGAGTCTCGGACGACCCTGCACTGCCTTCCTGGGGGAAAGACACATAGTGGCGTGGGTTTGGTACCCAACGAGGACGAAACTGAGCATCGTTTGAACAGACCCCCCCGTTTGGGCAGAGTCGGCATGAAAGAGTATGAAAGGGGTATGAGGAGGGTGTGGATATAAGGTTTCCGAAATGCATCTGGAAATTCAATCTGATAGGGGTCATTAGAGTGAAAATCACGGACTGACCTGCCATTGACATCATCGTGGACTGCAGCTGAACGCGCTAGCCCTATTGACTGCAGCATCAACAGTGCTAGCCAAGAATGTGATCCAAAATTCGCGTGGCAGCCTAAAGACAGTTGCATAAGAAGAGCATGAAAAGAGCATGAACAAGGTTTCCAAATGGTAGCCAAAAGTCTGGCTGGAAGAAAAAGGCATGACAAGAGAGCATGAAAAGGGTCCCTGCCTGCAGCTTCGTGTATAGGGATCTCCTTGGGAAATGCTATCGAACACTTGAGGCTCAAATTGATGGCATTTAGTGAGGTTTGGGTGAAAAACCATGTACTCCAAACAACATCAAAGCTTGGGTTGTATTTACATGTATTTACCGTAAACATGTGCGCTGCGAACAGGTTAGTGTCGCACTTGGGGCGATCATGCGTCGCCAAGGATGCACTGCTTATGCCACGATGTCCATGGTATAGTGGTTGCAGGTCGAATGCTACCCAGGAACTGAACGGGGGTGGTGAAAATCGACCCCCGGCATTCCCTGATCAACTAGGTGTTTGTGGATCCAAACCCGGCACTCACCAGCCGGGTCGGTGGACCTTCCGGGACATCGGGACTGGGTCGGTGGACCGGACCCGGATCCGACCTTCAGTGGTCCACCGGGGTGTCCCGGTGACTGCCATGTCTTCTCCTTTAGGACCGACACCTGGCCGGACATGGAGACTTCTCCGGTGACACGAAGAAGCCAGGCGCGGTGTGCGGGGGGAAACTAGACTTTATACTTAGCTTGGGTGTTCGATCGCGCATTACAAAGGATGTGGGAACATGGGAAAAACAGGTTCACTATTGCTTTGGAATGCTTTGATTTTGACCCTGTTTGACTTGTCTTGGCGGATGTGGAACGGACCTTCTCCCCAGAATCGACGTCCATCGATCGTGTTGCAGCTGAAACGCAGCTTCACGCCGCTTCACGCGCAGGTTGACTCACGCGCGCCACACACCGCGCGGAATCGCCCGCAGGGACCTCGAGCCGAGCCTATTTGGTGTGGGGCCCCAGACGTCGTGCCCGAGGCATCGGATGTGAGCGAACGTCGGCTGACACCGGACGGACGAACAGGTGAAAGCCCGCCGGTATACCGCTATACAAAGGGAAGTCAGGGAAAGTCAGGGAACAGAATGGAAAAGAGTTGGTGGGACACGGATTGATTTTTGGCATTCACCATGATTCATGGATTCTTTGAGACAGGAAGCTTGGAGATACTCCTGGAAACCTAGTCTCAACCAGAAACAAATGGTTGGAACCCAATATGGCAATTGAAATCCATGACATAGGAAATGGCTTTTTGGGGAAACATCCGTTTGTTTCTGGTTGTTTGGTTTCCCAGGCTGATGTAGGTTTGGAGGGTCCAACTGAGAAGGTATATACTTGGACCCCTACAGACTGTAACACTTGTAACCTGTACCCAAGTACCAAGGTACGAACTGAGACTGCAGGTGGATAAGCTGATGTTAAATGTTAAATATGCAGAACACATTTTGTGGGATTGAGGAGATGCCACTCCTCCATTCAAGGGGTGGAAAGTGTTGATTCAAGTTGATCTTGGAGGGATGTTTGGGAGTCTGAAGAATGCACCCCACTCTTACGGGCTACCTCAGAGTCAAAGACTACACGAAGGATGGTTTGACTGACTGGGTGGAGCATTTTGTCTCAGTCGTACCTTTTGTTAATGGGGTCATGTCACGTTTGCTGGAGTATTTTGGGGTTCCGGGTACAGTCTTTTAGACTTCCAGGGTACCCGTAACTACCCAGCCCAGAATTTTGGAATCCATCTTCAGAAGTCCTTAATATACGGTGTTGAAGTGACCGAACGTGATCCCTTGGAGGTCACCAACAGTCCTGAAAAAGACTTAGGGACTCCAAACAGGTCACAAACTGAGCGTCACAAACGTGGGGACTCCAAAAAGAACTGCCTGAGATGGGGTTTTCACACTGCGCTGAGCCCAGCACTTCGCTTTTGGGGGTACTTTTGCTCAGTCTCCTCGATGAAAGTGTCAAATGGTTTTAGGAGGTGCGTGGAGCGCTGGGGCACAGGTGCTTTGTTTTCTGGATGTGTGGTTTGATCTCTTCTTGCATTCTCCTACAGGGTGAGCTAAGGTGTTAAGGCGTAGGTGTCTTTTTTGAGTGTGTGGCCCAGTGTGATGGTAGACACGGCCTGTGAGAAAGCCAAACAACGCAACCCTTGAGCTGGGAACAACGCAACCCTTGAGCTGGGACACTGGGTTCATGCATTTTTGGCCATTCAATCCCTCTGGCCTCATCCTAAAGACATAAAGTGCGAACTTTGAACAATTCTTTTGCTCGGAGGTCTGGAACAAAGAAGCTTGAGGCTCTTTTTGAAGACATGTCTCCATAAGTGGGATAGTGGGATACAACTTGTTTCTGAATAAATGGATCGTGATTTCTTGAGACTGTCTGCAGGTGAGACTGAAATTCAACTGCAAAGTTCAATGTTCCATTAATTATTGATTAATGTTGTCCTCGGCGGACGTGGGTAGGTATGGAGTGAAGCGTGTCGGGATTTGTCACTCACCAGAGGATGAGCGTGTACCTGGAGTCTCAGTTCATTCCTCGGAACATGGGTATGCGGCTTGTACCGTGTTAAAAGGCCGGCCGGGTATATCTCCTTTTCGCTACGACCGATCTCGGGTCCAGCTCTCCTCGGTCTCCCGGATGAGGAGATCGAAACACATCACCTATGGTTGTGTGTTGTTTCGGACACTGCAGTACTAGTTGGCGCCAGTTGACCTGGAAATCTTTCCTTAAGAGTGAAAGACTTCACTTTTTCTGGAGTTGGTCATACAAAAGCACTTCGAAAAAAGAAGATCCAAGAGCAGCAGCTCAGCAGCTGGGTACGGACCCGTTCTTCACGTTCGAGGTCGGCGACCAGTATTCCATCGCGGACATGGCGTGGCCTCCCGTGGAGTGCGTGGCGGAACTCCCGTGGCGGGCGATTCCTGGCCCACCGACGATTCAATAAAGACCCACAGAGGTTGAAGAACCCTAGTGTGACCATTCCAGTTGGGTACCCCACTATTGTTCTATTTAAACGGTCACTTTACCTCTAGATCTTGGTAGGCTGAGTCCCAAAGAGCGAGTGCTTTTGCATACTAGTATGCATGCACTTCCAGTCGCACCTTCCCAGGTTCGCACCTACGTAACAGCGTCGCACACATCAGCGTACCTGAGAAGGTACGACTGGATCCCAAGGGCATTGGGACTGGAAGATTTACCTGTTTAGACCCTTAAAACATCTTAGAACCACACCCAATTGATGCGGCAGCTATTGCAGTCCCATGGATTTTTTGGGAACTGCTGGTAGATGACCTGTTTGAGGGTGCTGGTAGATGACAAATTTGGAAGAACATCAGGCTGAGGCTGATGCGAAGTCACATTGATTGAAACCAATCCAACCCACTGCTGATGATTTTCTAGCTAGTGAGGATGCTGGTAGAGCAATCAAATTTTGTACCGTGTACTTGTTGCTTGTTGGATTGCTTCATGCCTTTCTTCTGCATCCACAGAAGAACCCCCCAGCCCCAGACTGCTGAGGCCTGCTTCCCTTGGGCGTACATGCTTTGGGGTGGCCGCCTAAGAGCCCCATACTTGGGAGTCTTCAAGAATGAAGGTTTGCTAGCTTGAAGTCACATGTCGGGGTGGTGTTTAGTCCCCAGCTGAGTGGATCAAGGGGCACCTAACTAACGGAGGAGTTCCATCGGAAGAACCCTTGAGAGTAGGGATGTGGAGGAAGCAGAATTGAAGAGGAAGCTCTTTCAGTCCGCTTTTTTATATATTTGTTTGAAGTCTTTTGTTTGTCCACTTGTCTTCATCATTCCCATACGGGTTTCTTGGTTTCGTTCCCAGTTGCGGATGATGAGACTCGGTTGGGAAGAGTGTGACTGAAGGCCGTCCAGGTGCGACCTTTGCAAGTCGAACTCGACAGTCCACTGGCCCTGCTATAGTGGAATCCCTGACAGTCCAGGTGGGGGTACCATGAGACTGGCAACGTGGATACCCCACCTGGGCTGTCAGGGACCGTATGCTAGGAAGTGAAAACTGGAAGTTCGTTTTCGACGGATCACTGAAACTTCCCAGACTCCGTACGCGTACGAGCCCGACCGGACCTTGACAGGGGTCGGACCTGACCTTCACTGGGGTCCGGACCACCAAACCCTTGATTTTGGAGGGCCTGGCGCCAGAACCTACTCTCCCAATAACTGGTGTTTCAAGGACACCCAGACAGGATGGTCCAGGTATAGGTCTATTTCCTTGCTTGACCCAATTCTATCAGTGGTGACCTGCACCTCCGAAAAGAGTCAGGGGTGTCCTGAGCCACGCCCCACGGTGTCAGTATGGGTTGAACAACCACCGCTGAACTGAGTCGTTTGCTGGAGGCAAAGGCTACAATCGCCCTGACCAGCCGGATGCCAAGGAGCCACTTCGAGACTTGCCGAGTTGTTAAGATCATGCTCCAACATCCAAGCCCCTAAACAGAGGCCACCTGGTTCTTGTGCAGAGTGCTTTGTGGGGGATATACGGCCTGGACCCTCTTGGTCCAAGACCAGAAAAATGAGACATGAACCCATCAAGACATGTACATGTACCCATTTTCCGAGGTACTTCGATGATCGGCCGCCTTCCGTGCGAGATCCAGTCACAGAGCTTGACGTTTGTCTTGAATGTGCATCCCTGAGCACCTTCTGAGAATAGAGGCATGTTTTATGGATGCTATTTTAGTTTTTTGGATTCTTGAATAATACCTGCATAACCGGCATGAAAGTGATGCCATAGAAGAGTCTAGGACCTAGGAAGTTCCTCGACTGGTGCCACCTGGTCTCTCAGGGGTCTCTCAGGGCATTCAGGTGTGTATCTCAATAGGGAGACCCACGCTTGCTGTTGAAGTCCGAGAGTGCCCACTGTGATCTGGCGCATGCTGTTGAGGTCTGAGAGTGTTCACTGTGATTTGGTGCGGTGGTGCCCACTGTGATCTGGCACTGGCCGAGAGTGCCCAGTGGGACCTGGCGCTTGCTGTTGAGGTCCGGGAGTGCCCACTGTGATCTGGCCTTTGCTGTTGTGAGGCAAGTTGATGGAGAAGAAGGAGTTGGGTTCCTCTTCTAAGATTCTATAATCTAACAGCCCTCACCTGACAGTTGCAGGAATGTCCCAACCCACCGGACACAGTTCCCACGATGCCGGTGGGAGTCCCAGTGGTTCCAGTTCGACAAAAACCGTAGACCGAATGAAGTCCGGGCTTCTTATACAGTGGTAACTGGGACCCAAAGGCGGCATGTCATGCCCAAATTGAAATTTGCTACTCACCCTCGGACAGTGGAACCTGGGGATCCACATACCCTTTGGAAGTGCTTGTGGAGACACTGCTTTGTAGGCTTGGAGGGTCCAAGTACCTTCCAAAAAGGTACTTGGATCCCTATGTAGCCTATGTCTACAAATCCTTCACAGACCAGGGATTGACCATTTCCATGCTTGCTGGAGGGACTGCTCATCCAGAACCTTCATTTATATCACTGGGAACCTCACCTGGATGTCAAAATCCGCCACTACCCTAATTCGCAGTAAGTTGAGTCAGCACTGGAGTTTCAGACACTTTCAGGGTCATGTCACGGTCATGTCCCATTTTCGAAGGTACAGTCGGGTGATGTTTCCCCTGTGTTTTTACTTGCGATCTGTCAGCAAGTCCAAGCTGGTATAAAGCATTTGTTCATCATCCTGGTTCCTTACTACCTATAGACACTCCAAAGTACCTTCAAATTGCACATACCCCTAAAGCATCAAGTACTTGTACGTACACATTTTCCAGGGTACTTGAAGTCAGGTCGTGTCTTTCTCCCTCGCTGCCTTATGCTTATAAACCTCGTGTCCTCTCAACTGCCTTGGTGTCCAGGACTTTTTGGGCCTTGAGAAGTATGTGCACCTGAAAGCTTGGGTGGCGTCTCAGCCGCACGAGTTGGGAGGATTTGGGCTGTGGAGTTTCGGGAACCACAGCGACAACCGGTCGGAAGAGGCCCTATAGCCTCGACCTACATCATGCCAGTCATCATGCCATATCATTATCATGCCCAAAAAGCCGAAACCGAGAAGACCCTTTAAATTACAAAAGATTTTGTGAGAATAGTTCAGCAGACCTTGTTTTAATCCACCCAAAAACAGTTGCCTCTGAAAATCACTGCGAGTGGTTGCTGGGTAGCCCTTGAATCAATGGCGGGTGAAAAGCCAATGACCGGGCGCATTGATCTCAGCGGTGTCGATGTTGAACACTTCGATCCCAAACGCGGCGATGCAGCAATGCCACGGGGAAGACATACATTCTCAAGATATCACACTGCGGTTCGAAGATTGGAGGCTTGTTGCCATAGATGTTTAACCAACTTGCCGCGGCAAATCGAGCTCGGAGAGGCTGAGCTCACACAAGACCTCTTTCAGCGAATGACTTTGAAAGAGTTGAAGGACGAGGTCTGTAGATGGCATTTGGCAGCCGACCTCGTTGAGCGAGACCTTGGGAGTTTAGATGGAGTGGTGGAAAGCCTTCGTGCCAAGGCAGCCAGTCAAGAGACTGAAGAAAAAAGATACACTCATTACAGAAGGTCCGCTACGCGGCAAAAGCCTATTTGAGTGTTTGAAGGTCCAGCACGCCAATCGGTGGCGCCTCCAACAGATTCGAGATGGAGAGTCGCTCTTCTCCTACTCGTATTTTACAAAATACGTATCTTTTGGAGACACCACGCTGCCTGAATGGACCAGCAATATCCAGGAGTTGCAGAAGGAGAAGCTTCTGGATGTGGTAAAATGGGTGGTGAACTTCACTGGCAAAGCCAGACCTCGGTTTCGAAGTTGGTGGCCTTTTTGGGGACAGTTCAGAATCTCCAGAAGTCCAGTGAAGAAGCCACTGCCGATCTTGGAAAGCGCATCCAGGACTTGGTTGCAGGGGTGGTTGGCCTACAGGCCAGATCGCCCTCGACGATGCCCAGAAGCAGAGTCGCGCTCTTCAGAGGACCTGTGAAAATGTATGCTGGCAGGTCTCAGGTTCCGGCAAATCCCAAAAAACCAAATCAAAGATCTGGTGATCTCGATGTCGCGACTGCTCCAGTCCTTGGATGGACACTTTGCCAAGACCCACAAGATCTCCGAGTCAAATGCGAGAACATCGAAAGGGCATCTATCTTCCATAAGCGACGGCATCAAAAAGCTTGTGGCCCAGACGAGTGCCAAGGGAGAAGAATCCAAGGCTGCAAGTGTGCCTGGAGGACAGAAGCGGATGGATCCTACCACTGGTCCCGCCGCAGCTACCGCCAAGGCGGTTGCTGGTGCCCAGCTTGGCACCGCCGCGATGGCACCAAAGGCGATGCCGCTACAGCCAGGGGAAGGCAGGCATGACATACGTTTTGGAGACGAAGGTCAGAGCTCCAGATTGAACCTCCCCACTTGTACGACTGGACCCTCCACGCCTAAATAAAAGTGTCTCCAATCACCTCCCCAAAGGTATGTAGAGCCATATGGCATGATGCTGGTCAATCCCCTACTATATAATTTGAGTTGTAGAAGTTATAAGTTCAGTTGCCAGAGTACAAGTCTACTTGTACTTCAGTATGTTAACTTGTATTTCAATAAGTAGCAATAACTGTAGTTGTACTTATTATATGTATATGTTTTTTATATAAAAGTTACTCTAGAAAAAACAAATTTTAAGTAATTTATAAATAGATTGAGTTTATTTAAAGGGAAGATATAAGTTACTTACAACTTAGTTATACAAAGTTAGTTGTAGTTATTCATAGTTACAAAACCTATTTTTAAGCAAAAAAAGCGCGGAATTGCTTCCCCTGGGTTTTCCGCGAGAGCGATGGCAGCCCCGGACGCTTCGTCCACGGGACTGATTACACCCGGTTTGATTCCTTCTTGACCGTCGGAAGCATCGAGGTGGCCGCGCAATCTACGTCCAGGTGGGATGAACAGCGGCGGGAAGTCTGAGTGACTTCCACATACGGTGGCATCTATATAGGACGCGTATATAGACTACAGGAGCTGCGCTTGCGCGCCAGAGGAAAAAAGAGCGCGGGAAGGCGTTGGGTTTTCCGAACCGTGGCCTTATACACAGATATAGAGGTTTTATCTTTAGTATTAAGTCTACAACATTACATACAAGTTCATGTTTTTGAGGTGCACCAATGTCGGTCGATGTAGGACCGTCGATAGGACACCTCGGAATACACTATGTCGGCCAACGTCGGCCATACATAAGTAGCTAGGGCCCGCGTTACAGAGCTAGCATAACTGCATCAGGTGGTGATGTCGGCCAACGTCAACAAACAAACGTAGACTTTTCAGCTGCAGGCTTTAGAGATTCGACTCTTCGCCGAGGCTCTGAGGCGCGCATGTTGTAGTGTGGCGTTGGCCGACACACGCAGGACAAGTCGAAGACATTGTCGTGTCGGAACACACCCCGCTGCACGTCCGTGTGCGCAGGCTAAGTCACGTTCGTTCTACGAGATGGGGCTCGGTATGGAACGTTAGTCTTAGTGACAGGAGAACCTGGCATAACATGATGTCTTCTGCCACGTGGCTACGCGCCATGTGGTGGCGGTCGTCCGGGGGGACGCTCGAGTGCATCCACTGAGCTTAGGTTTTCGTTAAACGCGTAGAGTGAACGCTTGCGTGCGCGAGAATAAGTTGCTCTTGACCGAATTTGCATGAAGTTAGGTTTTAGTTATAAACTACTTATAAATCACTTCTGAAACTTATTTGTTTTTTATATATAACTTATAAGTAATAGTTATAACTCTGCGTGACTTGATTCCTAAATGCGTTAACTAACTTATATCTTCTATAACCAAAACGGATTATTCAGTAGGGATTCAGTCGTCCCTTCTCAGGTTAAGTGAGCAGGGAGACACTGTTAGGTGCCAGGAGGGTCCAAGGATCCCCAGCCGCCCTGCACCGGACGATCCGAGGATCGCATCGCTGCCCGGCCGGCGGTGCAACGGGGCATCCGCGTGTGCGTGGGGAGGCTCAAGCGATTTCCACGGCTCCGGACGGTCCGTGTGGAGTGCGATGCCAGAGACGCCAGTCCGAACAGGGCAGCTATGCCATGAATTGGGGCAGAGTCCTCCGATAGGTGCGATAGGCTCTTTGGAGGACCATATATGCAATGACCGAACTTTATCACCTGGGAACTGAGGTGACCAACAGGCCTGGTTTGGGATTCACTTGATTCACTTGCTGACTCCAAAGAGGTCACTGGGAAGGTCCTGGTGGTTGTGTATTAAAGCAAAAAGTATTAATGTTAACTTATTTCACCCTTGTGTACACGTATGATTGTGACATGTATAGAGTTGATTTGAGTCACATGTGAAGTATCTGTTCTTATCACTCTGTAGCGTTCGTGATCGAAGTGAAAAGCGTTGCTGCCTAACATGGTAGCGGAGCGCTGAAGATCCAGGCCAAAGCGCCTGGGGAGGCGCTCAGGGGATTGGGGCCCTTTGTATGGAGGCAGGTGCGTGGTATGCCTTCCATACACTGCTGGCACATGTTTTGATTCGAGTGATTTCGTGGACAAGTTTCGATGTCGTGCATTGTACATGTCAGTTGACATTGTATGGTACATTGGTTGGACAAGCATTGATTGTAGGATCATTGGTCGGCTGGTATGGAAAGTTTTGGGATGAAGTGAACTTCAGCGAAATTGATGTTTCATCTTTCATGGAGAGTTGCACGGCGGTAGCATTCATCCCTTGGAGCTGGACAATCGGCATTTCATTGATCGCAGCAACAGAACGCTTGGGCCTTAGGGCATTGAAGTGCAGGCGAAGGATCCAAAAGAAGAAACGGATTTCAGGTTTGTTGAAGGGTACAAGAACTAGACGACAGTTGAACAAGCGTGGATTGTTTTTCATGACCCTTCTTGCAAGTGGCTACGGTGTTCAGGGTATGGACCAACAGCAATTTGCACAGTTCATGGAAGGTTTTGGTAAGTTTATTCAACGACAGGAAATGCTTGGACAGGCAACTACAAATCTTGCAGGTTCGATTCCGGAGATGTTGAAGGGGGCAGTTGCAGGTGCATCGTCGGCCTCTAGTTCATCCGCAGGTGTTGCCAAAGGACTTGAATCAGCAGCCAAGATACTGAAGAATCCGGATTATTTTGATGCCTCAGATGCAGGGAGTTGGATTTCGTGGCGACATTCATTCCTGAATTGGTTGGCGTATGCAGATTCAAGGTTCCTCCAAAGCATTCAGCAGGTTGAGAAGCTTGGAACAGATGATGTTGTGGAGGACACAGGTTGGAGCAGTTCAGATTGGGACCTGGCGTACAAACTGTACGCTATCCTGACCTCGTATTTGAAGGGACCTGCGCTTCAGATTTCACGAGGCATTTCGGAGAGTCGTAACGGGTTTCAGCTTTGGAAGACATTGACAGATCATTTTGCACCACATACAAGGCAACGAGCACTAGCATTGTCACAAGCAATCAGTTCATTTCCAACTTTCAGTACAACAGGTGGCAAGACATTGCATGAGCAGATCATGAACATGGAGTTGCTTGTGAACCAGTATGATCAACTCAGTACAAAGCAATTTGATCGTGACATCCTGTTGGGAGTTCTTTTGCGTGCATGTCCAGACAACATTCGACAGCATTTGACATTGAGTGTGAACGAAGGGACAAGCTATGCTGAAGTAAAGGAGAAAATTCTTGCATACGAAAGGTCATCCCGGTTTTGGTCAGCAGGTGATGTGATGAAGCAGTTGAACGACAAAACATCGACGAAGACCACTGATGGCCCGGTGGCTATGGAGGTGGATGCAGTGACACAGAAAGGTAAGGGCAAAGGCAAAGACACTTCATGGAGCTGGACGAACTGGACTTGGGGAAGCTGGTCGAAAGGCAAGTCGAAAGGTCGTGGAGTGAAAGGTAAAGGCAAGGACAAAGGC